GTATGTGGTCTCAGAGCAAGAACACACCTGGCTACAACCTTGGTCTGGGAGGGCCAGACGTTGGCCTTTCTCTACCTGCCTGTCCCCACAAAGTCACTTCCAAGGACAAGAGGTTAGGTGTACGTGTCACTCACCTTTCTGTCCCTGCAGAGCAAGCTGTCAGTCCTTGCCACCTGACCCGCTCTGGCAGAAACTCCATACAGCATAGCCTGGGGAGTGTGGGAAGCAGCCCCTGGCCAAACACCACAGCTTCTCATTGTTCTTACACAGAGTTTGGCAGTTTTTCAAAACATAAACGTGCCTCAGATCATTGAATGCCTCTGGTTGATTTCCAGAACACTAAAGTGGGTGCTTTGATCAGTTCTGTCCAGTTGCATACTTGCTTTCTTTTAAGAAAATTTGCTGATCTCCTCACTTGGTCACAGCCGGAAGTGCCACCCTTCTGTTTGCCTTCTGATCCATAAGAAAGAGTTTTTCTTTCTTATGAATTTTATTTTGACAGATTTCAAAAACCAAAAAATTAGAGAGAACATAACGAGCATCTCTGCACTCAACCCTCAGATTAAGTGACACATTACAGATATGTCCAAACCTCCTCATTTATTCTCCCTGATCCTACTTAAATTTCCTTCTCCAGAAAGAACCACAATCCCAAAATTTGGTATTTGCTAATCTAATGTGTGCTTTTGCTATTTGATACCTGTATACATGCGTATATGGCAACTACTGTCTTGCATTTTTTAATCACATTCAAATGCTATTTGTATATATTCTTCTACAACTTACTCTTTTTTGCTCGTTATTATGTTTTGGGGATTTATTCATGTAAATACATGTGGCCCTAATTCACTGACACTGAAGTGCTGTATAAATATGCCACTATCACTCTGTTCTCCTAGGATGGACATCTGGGTGTTTCCAGTCCTCTACTGTTACAATAGTGCTATGAATACTCTTGTGTGTTTCCCACACACCCAGAGTAACAAGGGTCTAGAGGACAACAGAGAGGGGCTGTGAGTGTTTGTGTAAATACGTGAAATCTCCCACTGGCTCCCACACAGCTGGAGGTAGAAAGTGGGAGATCTCATGAGAAGGGTAAATAAACAGCGGTTGTCCTTCAAACTGGGGACACATGGCTTTCCACAGAATCTAGGTTTAGAGTCACAAGAGGCCTTCCCAGACAGGAAGCAACTTGTCCAACAACACGGAGCAAGTCGGTGGGAAATTTGGGCCTAAAACCTAGGTTTCCTGTTTTCACTTCCTTGTTTCTCAAAGCAAGATCTGTGGACTAAAGGCATTAGCATCACCTGGAAATTTGTTAAAAATACAGACTCTCAGGCTGTATCCTAGATATGCTGAATCACAACTGCATTGTAACAAAATGCCCAGGTGGTCTGTATGTACACTGAAGTACTGAAAAATATTCTAGACCATGTGGGTAGGCATGAAATTACTGGATCACCAAGTATGCATTCTTTAACAACATCACATAATGCCAAATTCCTCTCCAAAGTACGGTACCAATTTACTTTCCCACAGTCCTCTAAGTTTTTAGGTGTCTAATTAGGACATGAAACCTTTCTTACTGCTCTTATGTCTACTTTCATTCCACTTGCCTCACCAAGGTTCCACCTCCTAAGAGTATATCCACAAACTCTAGTCCTAAATTTCCTTACCTGTGCTATGATACACTAAACTGTGATGAAAGGATTACATGGTCAAGTAAGTTTGGGAAATCACAGGTTAATCTAGGTAGAAAAGTTCTTAACCTTAACACTCCTCAGAGATCTCAGAATGTTTACCAGGAGCTGCTACAAGCAAACTACATTTCAAGCATTTTCCTAAACTTATTTTACCATTGACCTGTTTTCTGCCATGCATCATCTATGAACATATCGGAATTAACTTACATTTCAAGGAACACAGATGGCAATCTGTGCTAATTTGTAGACGCTTCCTTCCTTTTTAAAACAAAAATCATTTAAAAAATTTAAAAAAAGATATTGATATCCTCCTGATAGTCCCCAGATCTCATACTTGAGAAAGACTTGTTCTAGCTACTTCTCTGCAGTTTTGTGTGTGTAAGGTAACGTCACCAGAAAAGAAAAATATTTTCTTTGCTCGGATGAGTTTCTCCCTCCCCATTTTTCTTCATGTTTTCAGTAATAAGAAATCAGTATGGAATGATCAGGTCCAAAATTTCAAATAGTTTGTCTTGGCTCTGAAACAGGCAAGGAGAACAAACCGGCACCTGCGCTGAGGCCTGAGCAGAAAGGGTCTCTAACCCAGAGCTCCCACACGGACGGCCAGCTGCATCTGACTGCCCCTAAGCTCCTTCTGGTTTCCCTGAAGAAATTAAAAGTTACAGGTCTCCAGGGATCTCTGGATATAGAAAATCACTCATTCTTGAGATTTCATTCTTTGTGTTTCCCTACAGTTTCTTTTTCTGCAGCAAGCCTGTGTTACTTCTGCAACTAGAAAAAATACAGTCCTAAAAGGTTTGACTTGAAAGGAAGAAAACAAATCAAAGAATAAAATTTAAATCCATCTCATTACTCGCTCAAAATACACACAGAAGGTGACCCTCAATTAGGGTGAGGAGGCCTCTGAAAGGTAACTGTCTAAAATTGATTATATGAAAATTATATGATTAAAAGTTGATTCTTTCTTTCTTTCTAATGTTTTATTTATTTCTGAGAGAGAGAAAGAGACAGTGTGAGCAAGGGAGGGTCAGAGAGAGAGGGAGACACAGAATCTGAAGCAGGCTCCAGGGTCTGAGCTGTTAGCACAGAGCCCTACGCGGGACTCGAACCCATGAACATGAGATCATAACCTGAGCCGAGTCGGATGCTTAACCGACTGAGCCACCCAGTTGCCCCAAAAGTTAATTTTTTTAAAGAAGTCATTAACTTTAAAATATTTATGAATACAGGGGCGCCTGGGTGGCTCAGTCAGTTGAGCATCCAACTTTCACTCAGGTCTTGGTCTCATGAACTCACGGTTCATGAGTTCTAGCCCCACATTGGGCTCTGTGCAGACAGCTTGGAGCCTGGAGCCTGCTTCAGATTCTGTGTCTCCCTCTGCCCCTCCCCCACTCATTCTCTTTCTCTCTCTCAAAAATGAAAAAAAACACATTAAGGTATTTATGAAAACAGAACTAAACTTCATCTAGGTTTCAACTCTAAGAGATGAGCGACACTGGCGGAGCTGTGTTCAGTCCCGCTCCTGCTGCCATCCTCCTGGTCTGTGAGATGGGAGAGCACCCACACCACACACAGTTACGGTGATGACTAAGAAAATATGTATTAAAAAGCTTCACATCATATATCAGCAGGGAAACACAAATTAAAACAACTTATTAGAATGGCAAAAATCCAGAACACTGACAGCACCAAATGCTGGCAGCGATGTGGAACAGTAGGAACTCTCATTTGCTGCTGGTGGGAGTGCAAAATGGTAGCGCCACTGGGGAGGATGGTTTGGCAGTTTATAAAATGAAACGTGCTTTTACCATACAGCTCAGCAATCATGCTCTTTGGTATCTACCCAAAGGATGTGAAAACATGCTCATACAAAACCTGCACACAAATGTTTATACCAGCTTAATTCATCATTGCCAAAACTTGGAAGTAACCAAGATGTCCTTCAGTAGGTGAACAGATAAACTGTGGTACATCGAGAAAAAGGAATATTGTTGGGGCACCTGGGTGGCTCAGTCAGTTAAGCGTCTGACTTCGACTCAGGTCATGGTCTCATGGTTCATGGGTTCAGCTCTATGCTGACGGCTTGGAGCCCGGGGCCTGCTTCTGATTCTGCGTCTCCCTCTCTCTCTCCCCCTCTCCTGCTCACTCTCTGTTTCTTGCTCTCAGAAATAACCATTAAACAAAAAAGTAAAAAATAAATAAATAAATAAACAAAAAAGAAAGAAAATGGAATATTTAGCACTCAAAGAAATGTACTATTGGGCCATGAAAAGACACGGAAGAAACCTAAATGTATAATACTACGAAGTCAGTCTTGCAAAGGCTACACACTATAAAATTCCAACTACAGGACATTCTAGAAAAGACAAAACTATGGAAATAGTTTTTTTAAAAAATCAGTGGTTTCCAGGGGTGGAGAAGTGAGAGGGGTGGATGAATAGGCAGAACACAGAAGATCTTGAGGGCAGCAAAAATACTCTGTATGATACTATAATGATGGATACGTGTCCTATGTGTCCAAACCAGCAGAAGTGACCCCCAAAGTAAACCAGGGACCCTGGGTGATTATAATAAGTCAATGCAGGTTCACTGGCTGTAGCAAATGTACCGCTGTGGTGGGGGTGTCGATACTGGGGGAGGCTCGGCATGTGTGGGGCTGTAGGGGAAATCTCTGTACTTTCCACTCAATTTTGCTGGGAACATAAAACTGCTCCAAAGAATAAAGTCTATTATAAACCTCTCCCCCCAAAAACTCATAGTCCAGTGCCTGGAATATGCATAGTAAGTGCTCAATAAATTGCAACTACTGTTATTAAAGCAGTTACATTAGAAATGAAGAAACACTGTTTCTACTATAATTGTACTAATCACGGAGTCAGTCTCAACATTTATCCTGAGAAGACAAAAAGCATCCTTCTAATCAAGAGGTAATCCTTGAGAGTTCATAACATATCTGGACAAGTGATTCTGAATGGAATACATGTTATTTTTCAAAGTTAACAAGTAGAATGTAGAAATGCAAAATGACTGAGGATTCAGTCACAGCCAGTTATGTAGTAAGTCCAAGTTTTACAAATTCTGATATGGTCATTATTTAAGAAAAAGATTTAATTAAAAGAAAAAGACATGCATCTCAATAAACCAATGATAATACCAGAAATGAACATAAAAAAATGAATATAACCATAGGATTATATTGTAAATGGTGTGGGTTCAGCGGTGGTAGAATGCTTACCCACAAGGCGCTAATTTCTAGAAGGAAAAACAGAATTCACACAACCCCCTGGTTTTATTTACCTGGATGAGTCATGGTGACAGGCTCCTCTTTGGATTTATTATTGTAGATGACCACGGCCACTGCATTGTGGAAAGCAGCCCGTGATATTTTCTCTTTAAATGTGCAATTTCCCCTCTGCAGCAAGGCAATCCACTGTTTGATATTAGGAGGGACAAAGAACCGTGTTTGAGGATCACAGCCCAGATGATCAGCAACTAAACAGAAACAGAAAAAATCCCATTAGCTTTTTTCTCAAGTAAAGGTATATAAAATCGATCTTTATCAAAGTGCTCAACTGTTCCCCAAGCCCTCTGGATACCCAAAGCACTTCAAGCAGCTCACTGTCAACAGAGCTATGAATATAGCCGTGAAGCACAATACGATGAACCTGCATCCACATCTGTACAGGGAGAGCGATACTCCACTGAGATGTTACCCATAGTGCAAATTAAAACCCTGAAAAATTCTGTGTAACTTCAGACTCTGATTGAGGTAAAAAAGACTGATAATGCCCAGTGGAGGCTGGTGAAGAGAGGAGAAGAAATGGCGAACACAGAAACCCCAACACCCAGGTTACTGACCTACCCTGACTTCTGCTCATTCGTTCACATCTAACTCTTTGCTCCACATTCCCTACCCCACTCCCCCTCCCCCACCCCACCTCCATGCTGCAGAGAGAGACTGATTTTGCTTGAGGTAAATGAGGCCAAACTAACCTTTGTTTCAGTTACCAAGTGGTCTTGTTGAAATTCAAGCATGTTTGAACAAATTTCTTAATAAGTGTCTAAGGAAATCAGGAAAGGTAAGTTTTGGCTTGTATTTGAAAGTAACATGAAACCAGAATAGATTATTTCTCTAGCTTACATTTTACTGGTAAAAATGACAATTTCACACTAAGATACATATATACAGTAAAACCCTGGATGGTGAGGAACTTGTTCTGCAAGTGCTCCACAGGATGAGCAAACATTTCTAATACATTTTAACTTGATAAATGGGTGATGTCTTGCCCAACTAGTAGTACGTGACATCAAATATCACATGATCACAACTGAGCCAATGGTTCTTCTCTCTCTCTCTCTGCAGGATTCTGGGTGATGGACTCCCATGCTCAGATGCTCGGTCTCAAGCAGCGGTGTTTGGCAGAAATCAGTGATTTTTCAGAACATTGGAAGGTGCCCACAACTGGTACTAGTGTATTTTTGTCACTTCAAAGCACCTATGGACAGTCCTGTGCTTTTCCACACAAGAGTCAGCTTAGGAATGCCTTGCTTTATTCTAAGTCAGGCTGCCTGCAGATTGAGACCCTTTCCTCTGCTGCCTTATTGCCAGTTACATTAAATACAGAACATGACAAGGATTTACTAATACTGTACTACAGTCAACATCCGTGTGAGTATATACAACGGCCCCCATGTAGAAAAAGATTCCACTGAGCCAACAGATAGCAGTGATTCCGTGAGTGACAGTGAAAGTCGCCCTACACAATAACCCTCCTCTCTCTTGTCTCCCTCACCCCAGCCACAAAGGTTTTCAAAGGTAAGTGCAGGTTCATTTGTATATTTTTCTTTATACTTTGTGTTTTATTATTTTGCATTATATTACAGCATTATAGTAATTTTTATAGGAGTATTCTTGGGTTGTGGAATGAATCATCCAAGATTTCTTATGGGGGAAATTCGCTTTCATGTACAAGTGCTTTCCAGAATGAATTACACTCGCAAACCAAGGTTTTACTGCATTAACTCTACTACCCCCACCCAACTAACAAGACACATGGAGACACCACGACTATGTGGGACTAACTAATCATAACTGCATGGCCATCATTGTGGATCTGGGGGAGTTTGTTGCACATACTGGAAGTACTACACTGGAACCTGTCAAGCTGAGCTCCACAATTTGGTCATCAGTGCTCTGCCACCCTTTGCAAATCTTAAGAAGCCACCCCTGGCTGCCTTTCCCACAACCCATCCTCACACTTCTAACAGGTTAAAGTGAAAGGGAAGGGCGGTCCAGAGAGGGGCAAGAAGTCACAAGGGTGAAGTTCGCAGACCACCACACGCAGTACCAGAGGATGGCAGTCCCTAGGCCTCCCGGAGTCAGTCACTGCTGGTATTGCGCCGGCTGGCGGGGAGACGACAAAAGGGCGACACTAAAATGAAATAAATATTTTTTCTGTCTTCATTTTTTCCTTAAATAGTTTATTGTCAAGTTGGTTTTCATATAACACCTAGTGCTCATCCCCACAAGTGCCCTCCTCATGCCCATCACCCCCCTTCCCCTCTCCCGCACCCCCATCAGCCCTCAGTTTGTTCTCAGCATTCAAGAGTCTCTCATGGTTTGCCCAGACTCTTAAACACAGAGAACAAACTGGTGGTTGCCAGAGGGGAGGTGAGTGGGGGATGGATAAAATAAAGAGGATTAACAGCACACTTAAAAAAAAAATTAATACAAGTATTAAATCAGTATCAACCAGTAATAAACCATATGAAAAGACAACACCAGTGGGGGAATATTTGCTTTCCACACCCCAGCAGCGCACTACTTAGCAAAAGAAATGAAAGGTTTACACTGGGCTGTGAAATGTAGAGATGCCACTAGCTTCAGAGAAATGGTACATCTGTCATTCCCGCTTACAGAGTATTTTTCCTGAAATCCTCTGACCATCACGGTGAAGGATCGCAATGACAGCGGACCTGCTGCCAGAGGCATCCTGATACAGTGGGGATCAGGGATTTTGCAATGTCGCAGCTTCTATCGGTGACAAGTACCATCCTTTCCCTTAAGACAGTGTCCGCACTCGGCAACTTCAGGCCTTTCTCAATCAGAGTACGTGGGTGGAAAAGAGCCTGTATCAGGATTTTAGTAGTTACCTATTGCAAGACACAGTCGAGGCATCGCAAAACTCTGAAATCTAAAACAGACTGTTAACCCGCAGTGAAACCTGTTTCCCAGATAAGGACGCGGCTTTAAAATACAAGCATCTAGGCTACGTGTCACGGTAGCCTCACTGCCTGTTTCAGGACAGCTCCCAACACCACGTCCAAAGAGAGTGAGAGCAGCGCTGGGGCTCAGTGTTCCATTTGTAACAGTGCAAGATCCGCTGCTGCACAGACCCTAGGAGGAAGTGCACGGTCAGGAATGGCTAAAAAGATCTGTATTCTTGTCTTCCACAAAAGATTCACGTTTCTGTGACTTATCCCACCTCTCCCATGGTTGCACACGTCTTCACAGTAGAGTAAGGAAGACACAGGATGGTCATGGAATTGGCAAGATGTGGGGTCCACATTCTAGATAACTACTTTCCTAGCTGAGCAACTGCCCCAGGTTCAATGATCTCATCTTCAATTTTTACTTATTTACAAAGATTGAGTTAAAAAATTCTAATCTCACAAAATAAATAAAATTTTAATCTCACAAGGGTTATGTATGTGAAAAAGGCTACACTAATTCTTCTATTCTTAAGTACTGAAAAAAAATTAATTTCCTTTCCTTTAGTTTTACGGGTGTCATCCTGTCTGGTCCTAGTGTTCCAGTTTGGCACTGTGGGGATTTTCTGTGCCGATGTGTGTGAAATCCACCCACAGCTCAGCAGCACATGTCTGCCCCACATCCCCAGCTCCTAACAGCTTCTGTTCCCAAGTCTCATTCCCTCTCCCTGTTGTGCTGACAGTGTCGCTGTCCACTTAGAAGATTAGCACTTTGGGGGTGCCTGGGGGCTCAGTTGGTGGTTGGGTGTCTAGCTCTTGATTTTGGCTCAGGTCATGATCCCAGGGACCTGGTAACAAGCCCCACCTTGGGCTCTTTGCTGAACACGGAGCCTGCTTGGGATATTCTCTCTTTCTCTCTGCCCCTTTCCCACTCTCTCTCTCAAAAATAAAATATATATATCTATATCGACACTTCAATAACAGTCCCCATTTCCAAAACTGAAAAGACAGAGGAAGGAGCGCCTGGGTGGCTTAGTCGGTTAAGCGTCCGACTTTCGCTTAGGTCATGATCTTGCGGTTCGTGGGTTCGAGCCCCGCGTCGGGCTCTGTGCTGACTGCCAGCTCAGAGCCTGGAGCCTGTTTCAGAGTCTGTCACTCCCTCTCTCTCTGACCCTCCCCTGCTCACGCTGTCTCTCTCTCTCTCTCCTAGAAATAAATAAAACATTAAAAAAAAAATTTAAAAAAAAAAAAAAGAAAAGACAGAGGAAAACTTGCAACCATGAAGCAAAATCTAGCAAACATACTGAAGGAGAACTTTAAAATTCTCTTAAGGAATCCCCACCCCTTATTCTACCAACAACTTCATGATCCAAACAAATTCCAACATAGACTGTGTGAGCAAAAGAATGTCCTTGGTTTCTTAAATTCACCCAAATAATCATCCATAAAAGGTCTCTGAAAACATTTACATCAGCAAGAAGATGCAATAACAAGCAAGAATTAAATATTCACGTTCCTGTTCAAGGAAGGAGTTTTCATTATTCAGAAGAAGAAAGTAAGAGGTTTTCATACCACTTAATACTGTAGCATGCTTATTTTATCTATTCATTTCTTCTTGTAATTAAAAAATAACTTCAACAGTGAAAATGTTAACATCTCTACAACAACTTCCCAAGACTGAGGACTAACTGGTTAAGTGGCCCTACTTCACAATTTAATACCTGTTGTTTACACTTGAAGCAATTTATTAAGTGAAGACACAGTGTGGCATAAAATATCTATGCAATTAGGAGCCATTAAAATTTATCAATAGCAATTTTGCACAAATTCAAAATCATTTTACTTTTTTTTTTTAAACTGCCAAATTTAGAAGAGGACTTCACCTCTGACTTTTTGCATGTATTAGTTATGGTGTCAGGAAAAACTTTTAGGAAGTCATCATGGAAATCTGAAGTTGCAGAGGATATAAAATACAGTATTTCAGTATCTTACAATTTTACTTATCAATTATACTTCAATAAATCTGAAAAAATGTTATAGTACAGAGAAACAGAAAAACTTCATTTTTTTTGTATGGTCTTTCCTGTTGGGTCCAGAAACAATAACGAGACTTTTCTTTATTCCTTCACAAGAACCAAATAATTATTGACAGGAACAATCATGGAATCCTCACCTCAACGAACATTAACTTAAATGCTCAGCAACATCGTAAGTACCAAAGAGAAACATCATAGAACCAAACACTTCAGTCCTGAGTCAACAGGAACCTCTAAAGGTACCGG